CACACACACACACACTGAATTACTGAACTGGCATACACACACACACACACACACACACACACACACACACACACACACACACTGAATTACTGAAAAGAGTCTAAGAAAAAGAATAACCAAATGTGATATATAAACCTTCACTAAGTTCTGAATCGAAGCCCAAAAGCTATAAAAGAGATTTTAAGCACAATGGGAAAATGTACTACATATTAAATTAATTTATTTAATGTTAATTTTTATATATATTACTGGTAATATAGTTACAAACAAGAATATTCTTGTAAATCATATCATTCTTAAAAAATATTTGCTTAAGTGAAATAATGTCTACAGCTTACTTTGAAATGGCCCCAAAAATGAAAGTAATCTATATATGTGTGTATGTATGGGTATATGTGGATATATGTGTGTACATGTATATATACAGACATATTTTTGTGTGTGCTTCATATATTCATGTATACATGTGTGCCTGTATGTATACATATACATATGTATATTGCATATGTATATATGTGTATGCACATTTACCAAGAGAAATAGAGAAAGTAAAGATAAAGCCAATTTGGTAGGTGTTAGAATATGATAAATCTAAATGAAAAGTATAGAATATTCCTTGCATTATTCTTTCAGCTGTTCTGTAGGTTTAAACTTTTTTAAGAAGCCTTTTTATCTTTTAGTAGTTTCCTTGCTTGAACAATTGTGCTCCATTTTTCCTTTTTCTCTTCATAGTATTATATAAATTCCCTTTTTTCTCATTTTCCATAAATGCCTGATACTTCACATAATGTCCCCAGGTCAGCTGCCAGCCCCAGAGCACAGATGATCTTCAGTGTAGCTGAATTTTAGACAGAGTTCTTCCCTCCAAGACTGGCTGCTGCTTTTGAAAAAGAGTTTGAAGGATATAAGAAGAGGTGCCTTTGTTTGGCACGACATGCAGACATGTGTTAATGTGGCTTGGAGCCACATTCTGAAAGTTTTATGGTACTCATTCAACATAAATTCTCTTATGTCTCCCTCAGCAAAAGCCCTAGTGGTTAAGATGACTCTATATGTCATTATTGGATTGGGCTATATTTTGGCCAACTTGCCGGCTTCCTGTGCCAGATTCTGTATTTAACTGGCGCTCTGGGTAAAAGTTATATTTTTTTCTTCATCTTATTTTGTTTTTCTGCTGGTACAAGGTCTTGAACTCAGGGCCTCATGCATTCACCTAGCTTTTTTCGCTCGAGGCTGATTACCATTTGAGCCACAGCTCCACTTTGGGCTTTCTGCTATTTACCTGGAGATGAGAGTCTCTCCAATTTATCTTCTTTGGCTAGTTTTGAACCACAGTCCTCAGATGTTAGCATCCTTAGTAGCTAGGAGCACAGGCATGAGCCACTGGCACCTAACTATAGCTCTATTATATCTTGTAAACTCTTAGGTCTTTATCTCTGGCTCTCTTTCATTGGGAACCATTGTTCCAGTGGCTCAGCCAATGTTTAGGTGTATGAGCTTCACTGGGCTTGACTTATTCTGCAAAAGGAACTGGAGACACATCTCTCTTCTCCCCAGTGCAGCTCCTCATGCAGACTTGGCACCTCCCCAGTTGCTGGTCACTGCTTGAGATGGACACTCAGAAAAAAGTTTGTATATGGGAGACATACCTCCACACACATATTTTTGTTCAAGCACTGTGAAACTGTGGGTTTTCTGTGCAAGGCATTTGGTTAATAGGCTCACTGCAAAGGAAACTTGGGAGACATTATGGCACCTGTCTCAAGTTGAAGCAATCCAATGGTGAGCTCTTAGAAGCAATCAAAGTCCTGATTTAGTGAGATAAGGCTAGTCGTACAGGATTAAGGGGTGTGTTTGGGGACAGGCTTTACTTTTTACATAGACACTGTCTCTGAGTTGTACTAGGTTTGCTACTGCAAGAACGGCCTTCATAGGAAAACAAATAGAGCTAACCCAGGGATTTAGCTGTTGATCATACGCAGCTGAAACTGTAACTACAGACATGTGCTTGGCCTGCCTCACTGCACTCTCTGGCAGGCTACCAAGGGCCCAGTCAGTTCTTTAATTTACAACATGGATTGAGCTCTTAAAGTGGCACTGTCAAGATTCAGAATTCTGAGTGTTTAAAAACTATTACAATAGCAAGGAACATGCCATAAACTGGGACAATTCTTGTGTTTTTCATCTTCAGCAACACTACTATATCTTTGTATCTGTTTTAGCAGTCCTGTGATTTGAACCCAAGGCCTCACCAGCTATTCTACCCCTTGAACCATACTGCCATCCTCTTTTCTCTTTGCTATACTTGTTTTTCAGACCCATGTTTTTTTCCCCAGGGAACCACAATCTGGCTTGTCTATTGAGATTGGGTCTCACTAGTTTTTTTTTTCCCCTGGCTGGCTTTGAATCTCCGATCTCTGCCTCCTAAGTAGCAGGGATTATACAATGCCCTATCAGTATTGTATCTTTCTATGATGTGATTTAATATATATATATATTTTTTTTTTTTTTTTTGCCAGTCTAGGTCTTGAACTCAGGGCCTAGGCATTGTCTCTGAGCCTCCTTATGCTCAAGGCTAGCACTCTACCACTTGAGTCACAAAGCCACTTCTGGCTTTTTCTAAGTGGTTTATTGGAGATAAGAGATTCATGGACTTTCCTGCCCAGGCCACCTTAAAACAACAATCCTCAAATCTCAGCCTTCTGAGTAGGTAGGATTACAGACATGAGCCACGGGCTCCAGGTCTTCATTTTTTAAAATTATTTTTGTATAGCTGTACAAAGGGGTTTCAGTTCGCTCAATTTACAAGTACAGTGCATTTTGATCAGGGTCACCCCTTCCATGACGTAATTTCTGTTTTTAAATCAAAGTTAGATTGACCACAGCAAATAAATATACATCTGTAAAAAAAAAAAAAAAGAGCACTGTTTTTTGTGTGTTTTTTTCTATTTCAGTAATGAGTCTAATGTTCACATTGGCTTCTTTGTATACAACACTTGGAGTTACAAGAGTGTAAACGCACTCTGGCAAAACAGAAAATCTGAAAATGAAAGCTGAATTCTACATAGCATTATTTCTTGCCCTGGGCATAGGGTTTCTAACAAAGGAATTCAATGGCTTATCTTCACTTAATCCATAGCTTGTCTTTGAGGAAGAGTATAAATGTACTTGCAAAAGAGAAGCTGATTGTGAATAATTCCATCTTTTTGGAAAAGCACCACTGTAGTGCTGTAGAGCTGGAAAGTAATATCCTGAGACTTCATTGGTCATTCATTAGAGAACACATCTAGGGTGTCTCTGGCCAGTTTAAGCTATGCATATTTCAAATATTTTTTCTCTAGCTTTTTTTGCCACCTAATTACATTTTGGTTTTCCCTTTTGCTATATAGAGATAAGATGCATTTAGGTGTGAAAAGTAATCCCCTTCCCAGTTCCCAAATGAACCTAAGATCAGTCAGAGGAGGTGTTTGTACCTCAAGTAAGTTCATCCTGGGTCAATTTATTTCCTCCAAATGGCTTGTATAAGGTAGGGATGTTCTGTAGTTTTTAATAATTAAACAAGCCTCCAAAGAAAACATTTGAAAGCTAATCCTCAGACTACTGGAAGCTTTTGAGTTTCTCTGGGAATGAGCATCTTCTGTGCTTGTGTGTTATTGATCTATTAATGATGATACTGATTAAAAATAAAGCCTCATTCATCAGTGGAGATATACTCAGGACTATTAGCTGCATAAACGATGGATGTGGTGGTGCTTGTGTTGAGAATGATGGTTCTCGCAAAACTTGCTCTTGGCTCATTATTCAGAGTGTATCTTTTATAGGTTTTTAATTTTTTATCACACATAATTATCCATAGATGAATGGAGTGAAATAATATGAGCCATTTTATCTATCATCTTTTCCTAAATCTAGGAAATAATTGGTTGGGATATCTTTTAAAAATGACAACTATTTTCTAAGTTATAAACCATTTATTTCTAAAGTGTTATTTTCAATATCTTAGCACTTGGCTGCATGAAAGTCATTATCCTATGTTACTCAATTTAAACATATAGATATTTACTACAGTTAAGAGGCACTAGTTAGGCTGCAGAAGTATTACAAGTGATGGTCTTTTGACCATAGTAAGTCAAGGTGGCAAGCTATAATTCTCTGGATAATCAGGAAAAAAATGAAAAAGAAACATTCATGGATAGAAACAATGAAAGAATAAAATACAAATAAAAACAAATAAAAAAGTATATAGATATTTACTAATTTACATAGTTATATAATTTTTAATTTATGTTAAATTCCTCACCATTTGTATTTGGTTTTAGCTATATGGGGCAGACAGAAGTATAAGCTATTCCAGGGCTGGGAAGGTGGCTCAGTGGTAGAGCGCTTGCCTTGCATGCCTGAGGCCCTGGGTTCGATTCCTCAGCACCACATAAGAAAAAAGCCGGAAGTGGCACTATGGCTCAAATGGTAGAGCGCTAGCCTTGAGCTGAAGAGCTGAGGGACAGCACCCAGGCCCAGAGTTCAGGCCCCACGACTGAAAAAAAAAAAAAGAAGAAGTATAAGCTATTCCAGGCACCAGTGACTCAAGCCTGCAATCCTGCAATCAGGAAGTTGAGATCTGGAAGATGGCAGTTCAAGACCAGCCTGGGCAAGAGTTCACTAGACTCCATCTTCAAAATCTCCATCAGTAAAAAGTGCAGGGCAGGAATTGTGGTTTATGTGGTAAAGAACCAGCCTAGCATGTGTGAGGCCTTAAGTTCAAACCTCAGTAGAAAGAGAAAAGGAAAAAAAAACCATAAGCCATGATTCCTGCCACTCTTCCAGGATTATTCTAAGTGTTTTCCAAGAAAAGTTGTGCTAGGGATTGAACCTAGTGCCTTGTGCATGCTAAACAAGCACTCTACCACTAAGCTAATCAGCCTAAGATTTTCATTTTTAAAGGCAATACAGGCTAGTGCTTGGGGTCTCATGTCTAGAATCAAAATATACCTGACACCAGTGCCAGATCTACTCTATATTAATGCATGGCCTGGGGTGAATTGCTTTCCTATTTCAGTCTCCATTGGAAAATAAGAAATAGAATGCAAGGTATCTCATAAAGTTATCGTAAAAATTGTGAGTTAAAAATACTTCATAGAAAGTGTTTATGCTGGGTGTGATGTCATGTGCCTATAATCCCAGCACTCTGGAGCTAAGGCAGGAAGGTAGACAGTATACATGTTGAAGGAAAAAGGAAAGGAAGGGAAAGAGAAGGAAGGAAGGAAAGGGAAGGAGGAAGGAAAGAAGGAAGGAAGGAAGGTGCAACAGCTTAGAAAACTTTAGAAAATCTGTTGCTTAATTGATGCTTAGGATATTTGTTAAAATAGTATCAAATAAATATTAGACATGCTCTTTATATTGCTGTTACTAACATATATCAGACTTTCATGTCAGAATAAAGCATGAAACATAACAATGTTGCACAACACAAGTCAAGTGGCTTCTCTACCCTCACCGTTTGGTTCACCCAGGGCTATCTTAGCCAGCACATACTAACCAGTAGTAGTGTTCAGCCCTGTCTTCTTCCATGCCTGAATCCTGTCTCTCCAGCTTCCTGTGTACATTTCCACTAGGATTTCCTCATGGTACCCCACACACCACATTCAGCTCAATTTTCTGCTTACTTTCCAGTAGACATTCACTTTATTCATAAATAGCTACATATTTTTCTAGAATTCTTTTTTTTTTTTTTTTGTCAGCCGTGGGGCTTGAACTCTGGGCCTGGGCGCTGTCCCTCAGCTCTTCAGCTCAAGGTGAGCGCTCTACCACTTGAGCTACAGCGCCACTTCCAGTTTTCTGGTGGTTTATTGGAGATAGGAGTCTCACGGTCTCTCCTGCCCGGGCTGGCTTTGAACCGCAATCCTCAGATCTCAGTCTCCTGAGTAGCTAGGATTACAAGCGTGAGACACCAGCGCCCAGCTTTTCTAGAATTCTTTATACAATTTCCCTTAGTTTCCTTCAAAGTTGAAGAACATTGGCCAAAAGAATAGACCTATAACAGTGCACATAACAGATAACCCATAATGCCATGAATCAGCTGTTGAAAAGAACCAGAGCAATGCATGAATACTATATTAATCACCCTCCCAGAAAACTCAATTGCATTCCAGATCTGGGACCTCTCCCTGCGGAGAGTCTGTTTTGCTGTGGTCCTTTATCTTTCAAATAAACATGTTCTCTATCTTAAAAAGTAGAAGAGAGTTAAAACTGGGTAGCAGGTAGGAGCATCTGATTCTTTTTCTTCTCATCCTCATTCCAAGTCTAGCAAAGAATTGATTCTGCCAACACTTGGAATAGCCTGGATCTATGTTGGAAAGGCAATTCTCTGATAATATCCATTGCCTCCTGGATATCACACACACACAAAAAAAAAAAAAACACGCACACACACATGCATGCATGCGTGCGCGCAAACACACACACACACAGAGTAGCACTTTGAAGTCAGGGCCTAGCACTTTCCTGCCAAGCCAATTATGTTATATTTTATATTACTTGTTATTCAAGAACAGAGAATTAATAAGTGAGTACAAGGCCCTGTTGCAGCCTAGGACTAGTCATTCTCTATACCCACCAGCCAATTTTCTCTACAGTTGATTTGACAGCCTTGCCCCTCCCTGTAAATCTGAATCTCTGCATTATGGTTTTCTTTCCATGGCTCCACTTGGGAGCTAAGCAAGAGATTGATGTGGGTTCTAAGAGTGTTACAAAAATTCAGTCCTGTTATTTAAAACAAGTCAAGAAGATCAAATGTATAAAAGCAACTCATGCACATAATGGTAGAACTTTGAAAGGGCCTTTTTTTTTTTTAGTTTACAAGTTGATAGTGTGTAGTGTAATATAATGTCCTTGTCCCTTATTATCTGCAAATGTCATTTCTGACTGTAGAATACAACTCTGTCTCTGTCCCCTGATTTCATATCACAGAAGGGATACCAATTTAGTTTAAGGGAAAATGAGTCCTTCCAACCCTATTTTATCTCCTACTTCTTTTTCCAAACTATCAATCAAGACAGAGCAAATAACTAACATTATAGTTTGCATTTGAACTTACAGTTGTGACAAAGCAATTATTTATTTGCCTAAAAAAAATAAAAGAACCCTACTTCAGACTGCCAAATGAAACATATTTCTCCAATGTACAGATCATATTAAAGTTTATGTATAGATTTTATGACATTGTGACTTTGAATTATTAGTTGCATCATCTGCTTTTCATATCTTATTATGGAATGTGTAAGTAGGGGACAAAGCCAGGTGCCAGTGGCTTACACCTGTCATTTTAGCTACAAAGAAGGTTGAAGATCTGAAGATCATTGTTCAAAACTAGTCCAGACAGAAAGGTCATGAGACTTTTATCTACAATTAACCACAAAAAAAAGCCAGAGGTAGAGGTCTGACTGAAGTGGTAGAGCACCAGCTTTGAGTGGAAAAAGCTAAAGAATAGCACCAGAGCCTTGAGTTCAATTCCATTACCCACACAAAAACAAACAAGCAAATAAATAAATAAATGGGACAGGTGGTACAAAAGCATTCTAAACATAATCCATTGATTCCATTCAATTTACTTTCATTTTTTTTCTCTTGCAGGACATAGAGCTGAATATATGACTACAAGGTAAAGTGCTCTATCTTTTTATACTTCACAGTGTATTTAAATACTACAAAATGAACACATTTTGTGAATGAACATGGAAGACAGTTTCCATGACAAGCAGAATACCAGAAGACACCAGCTCACGTCCACATCCACCATCGAAGCAACTTGGATAAACACTCCCAACAGTTCATGGTCATCCCAAATCCCTTCCATAACCATGGTTTCTTTACATTCACCTCACACCTCATAGCCTCAGGAGAAGGCAGTCTTCAGGCCTTTGGTACAAGTCCCCAAAGACATCTTTCTATTAGCCCTAAACAAGGGCTTTAGGAACTTGAACAAAATGAACATGAGAGGGTTATTCTTTTTTCCTAGAGAGTCTTACAGCATAACAAAAGGCTTTCCTTAATTTCCACATGTGATGTGCACTCTCCTGTGGGCCTTGCAGGTCAGGAGTTTAAAGTGGAACCTCTGGAGACAAGTCTCAAGCTCCCTTCTATGAATTCCCCTAGCACAGATGTGGAAAGCTGAGTCCAGTCATCCCAGTCCTCCTTCCAGTAAGGGGCACAGAAGAAGAGGCTTCCTGCCTTCAACTGTAACTCAAGAAGATGCAGGATTTCCTGCACTAGGTGTTGTATAGATCAGAAAGACTGGCTTATTCCCAAAGCAAACAGACAGGCCATGGAGAGGGTCAAGAACAGCATAACTGAGTGCATTCTAATGCCTGACAAATATTTAGGCAGCAGCATAGTTATCTGCACAGAAATACTTCATGGGAGACCACGCTGTCCAATCAGAAACATTTACTCCATATACTACTTTTTTCTCACTTTTGACCCACTAGTAGTTACTTTTGCATAAAAATAAAAGCCCACTAATACCTAAGGACTAGGTGAATGGATCTGATGTTACTTATGCTGAAGAATTGTAACTAAGGCATATTATTTAGCTTCTCATTTGAGGATCCGATAAAGCCTCAATTCTTACTTATTGTATCTTAACTGTGTGACTTGTAAATCCAATAACAAGAACCCTGCCTATGACATTGGGCCAGCTGGCTCACAACTGCAGTTGGTAAGACTTATCACTTTCAAACAAGCTAGCCAACAAATGCCAGCTACAATGTATAAGACAGCAGCTGCAACATATAAGACAACAGCAGTCTAAATAATCAGCTTGTACAGGGTTGTAAAACGTAAGTAAAAGTTAGTATATGGGGAAAGGTGGGATTATATTTTCCCATGGGGGCTTAATTGGTAACAAACTCAAGACCCCAGATTTTTGTCATTTTAATGTGACCTATGGGTGTTTCATTTATTGTTTGATTTCTACCATGCTCAGTAATTATATTCCCTTCCCTTAGGCCTCCAAATGTTCCCCCTAAGCCCCAGAAACACAGGAAGTCCAGACCCCGCTCACAGTATAATGCTAAGTTGTTTAATGGGGATTTGGAAACATTCATCAAGGTACTGGCACCAGCCACCTGGGTGGCTGACCTCCACGCTTCTCACTATAATGGCCTTCGCCTCTCATAAAAGGAGGCAAGCCATTATGTCCAAGTCTGTCCTGGGGCTCTTTGCTTTCCCAGATAATCAATATAATATTTCCTGAAGTCAGAGAGGAAAGAATATTTGGGTTGAGTGCCTTCAAAAGAGGAAACACATGTAGATGTTATTGTGTGGGCATAAGAAAAAAACCTTCTTCTTTTTTTAAGCTATAATCTATACCAAAAAAAAAGAAGAGATAAAAGGTTTTGGGTTTACTTGTGCAAATGCGATAGCACAAAATATACACTGTTAAATCTATTCATTAGGCTCACTTGGAAGCATAGCAAGTCCTGATTTCCCATGACTTGAGGAATTCATTATATTGGATAAATTGTAAGGCCCTGTAGCCTTTATCTTATCTCTGCTGTGTTTACTTTCTGTCTTCTTTTTCATCCTGTATTTCTGATAATGCTTCTAGCCGGGGACGAAGGAACTCACACGCGAGACATCAGGTATCACATGGAAGGGAAGTGAGCACACGGCTGGCCTCCTTTTCAATTCATTCTTGTGCTTGGCTTTGATTAGATTTTGTTTAATGTCTTTAAAAGAAAAGTGTTTGCAGTTGGAATCAGACAGGCTTATAATAGGCTTTACTTAGAAAAAAATCTATGGGAATCAGACGCTTATTTCAGAGGAATAGTCTTCTCCAGTAAAAGTAGATAGATTAAACTCAGCTGTTACATGATGTGTTTTGGAAAAACGTATGAAATTTTAGTTAGCAGCTTTGGTTATGCTAAGTCAGTGTTAAACATCAAGTGCACATTTAGTACTGGATTTTAGAAACTGATGTAAATTAAACACAAAAGAAAGGAGCTTTCTTTCTTCTTCATAGTTAATGCAGGAGCTACAGTGCTTTAAAAAGACTAAATTTATGTGTGAAACCTTAATTGGTATGTTATAGACATCTCAACTCTCTTAAAGGTAGATGTATTTATTGAATATTCACCCTAATTATTAAAAACAAGCATGTGTGTATGCATGTATATGAATAGATAGACAAACATAAAATACACATGCATATATACAGACCTACATATATGAATACTGAGAATGAGACCTTTGACAGCCTTAAAAATGAACCTTACTCCTGGAATTAAGTGAGCAACCTACATGGCGATCACAAATCCATTGCCTTGAGCTTTAAACCCAGAAGAGCTTTATTGGCTCTAATTCACTGTAAAATTATTGTCAAATTTGATTACCTAGTTTCCAAGCCCTGGCTTATAAGCAGAGGCAAATGAGATGGGGAGAGGAGGTAAGGAGAAGAAGAGAGGGGGAGAGAAGGGAAGAGGAGGGGAGAGGAGAGAAGAGAAGAAGGGGAAGAGGAAAAAAGAGAGGAAATAATAAACAAAAGCAAAGAGAGATGCAGCTGATGGTTTGAAAAGAAAGCAAATACAGGCTCAGAAGCAGAAATGATCCATTATATTTGTTCACAAAGTATGAGAATGGCTGCTGAAGAAGGTGTTTATTTTTCAGAGATTATCCCTAAGAACAGTTAGAGTTATCCACTTCCCTAAGTTCCTCCCCATCCTAGGTGGTGCGTGAAGGAATCTTTGTAACAGCAGTAACACGGGAGGTGCAGAGGCCTCCCATTGTCTCTCTCTGCCCCTCTAAAGGGTTTTTGAGATCTGCCCAATGTCCCTGTGAGCCTGTAATTGCAAATCATGATTTCCTTTAGGGAAACTGAGATTTGTTTGAATGGTAGCTGGAGCCCATTGTTTCACTTCTGGTAAAATACTTTCTATCCAAGCACCTGGCATCAATGAAATTAAATTCACACACACACGTGCAAACACATACTCATTACATTGTGACTACAAAAATTCATTACATCTGAAACAACAATCACAGCTAAAAGATTAACACTCACCTGAGTGACCATAAAAAAAAAAGTAAATGTTTGAAAGCTTAATTTTTTAGGAATTTCTTCATGCAAACATTTTTCTTTTAATCTTTCATTCTTTGTTTTTGTTTTAATATTAAGTACAATCAAGACATAAACTAATATTCTCCTTTCATCACTTACATTTAAATACTTGTCACCCTTCAAATTACAGTGCTACATGAAGTTTTCATATAATAATTACTTTTACTGCACATTCTGTGTCGTAAAGAAAAATTCCTTCATGCATTCAGTAAACTGATATAACTGCAATGCTATTTGCAAGCAAACTATCCCATTCTAAAATGTGTTTTTATTCTTATGGCTCATCTTTAAGGAATTAATGAAAACGTATGTTCCTAAAATTAACTAATTAGAAAAACAATATAAACTTCAGAAGTAACTGAACCATGGGCTGGCTTATACATTGTCTTAAAACTGAAAACTATTTCTTAAGAAGTAATTACCCACTCTAGAAATAAAGAGCTTAAATTACTGGACTGCCTTATTCCTAACCTTTCCCTTAGTGCTTAATTGGAAAAGCTAGTGGATTCTGGATGTCCTAATGTGTTAAGACAAACAAGTCCTTGTGTTTCAGAATAAAATTCCTCATGAATATATAACCGATGTTTAGCCTAATCATTTTGAACCTTATGTTCCCTTTAAAGATCTAATTCCTGAAAGATCAGAGTCTTAAAAGCACATAAAAAACAACTCTATTCTCAGTAACTTCCTTTACCCCAGTGCAGTGCATGGCATTGATATTATTAAACCGGCTGCAGCAGCAACCTGATCCCATCTGTCATCCTAGAGCTTATTTAAAGCATTTCCAGAATTTACATTGATTCTGTAAAGAGCAGTCACTGTTTTATAAGATGTGGAGAAAGAAGGCCAAAAAAAAATCTTCTTGCTTAAGAAAATGAAATCTAATGGGACGTATATCTGAGTGATTCTTTCTTAATCCTTGAAGCATGAAAAATCTGGTACAAACCAAGTAAATATATGACACATTTTCATTACCTTGGAAGCAATTCTCATGCAATGCATCTGTAACCATTAGAGCTCTCTTACAATTCATGATCTAGGTGATGTCACACCTCTCAGGCTGTAGTTGGAGGATTCCAAGACTGTTGGAAGGTTATCTTCGGTGACTATTCAGTCCTGAGATGCTGTGCCTATAATTCATAAACATTATTTTCATTTTTAAAAATTGATCACTTCTATCAGCAACCTTTCAAACAATGAGTTACTACTTTTGTTTATGTAAGCCAAAATATTAAGTAAAAGATTTTGAATCAGGAGCCTTTAGCTCTTGCCTATAATCCTAATTACCCAGGAGGGAGGCTGAGATTTGAAGATTGTGGCTTAAAAATCAGCCCAGACAGGAAAGCCTGTGAGACCAATTAACTACCAAAAAGCTGGGAGTAAAACTGTGGCTTAAGTGGTAGAGGGCCAGCCTTGAGCAAAAAAGTTTACAGACAACACCTGAGTTCAAGCCCAGCATTGGCACAGAAAGAGACAGTGAGAGAGGAACAAAAGAAAAGGGAGAGGGGAGAGATTTTAACATCACTGTGTACAGGGTAAGTCAAAGGAGCATTGCTTCCTTGTGTTCAATATATTTAATTTGGTTTGTTCCAGAACTAAACTATATCTTTGTTTAAATATAAATTGTTTTATCTTTTTTGGCCTTGTAGAATATTTTGGATTCAGAAATTTGATTTCAAAATGATTATCTAAAAGAGTAAAAACCATTCTAATCCAATGTTGAATTAAGCCTTTGTTACTATGTGTGTGTCAGATCTCTCCTTGGAATTTAACTGATTTCCATCTCTTTCCTCAGGATTCAGGACAAATTATACCCCTCATTGTGGAAAGCTGTATTCGGTTTATCAATCTCTATGGTAAGCCATAAACTATAGGATTCTCCTATAAAATATTCAGCATGCCGGTTGCCAATGCTAGCAACTCAGGAGGCTGAGATCTGAAGATCATCATTTGAAGCCAGCCTGGGTTGGAAAGTCCATAAGACTCTTATTTCCAATAAACTACCAAAAAGTCCAAAGTGGAGCTCAAGTGGTAGAGCAGTAGTCTTGAGCACAGAAGCTCAGGAACACCAGCCAGGCCCTGAGTTCAAGCCCCAGGGTTGGCACACACACACATACACACACACACACACACACACACACACACATTCACTGAGAGTGTTCTGTAAGTGTATCTTCTTTATTTAACATTTAATTATTGCAAAAAAAAGACAAAGAATTTGGTGAGTTTTCATCTTTGATGTAATTAATGTATACTTTTTAAAATATAGATGACAGAGGTAAAAGTGGATCTATTGAAGGGCAGGTATCAGCAGGGGACAGTGAATGGAGAGGGTGAATGAAGACAAATTATAGTCACAGTACTTTATATGCAGATGCAACAATGAGATTATTTTAAAGAGAAAGGGGAATGAGGTTGGTAGGTATCACATGCAAGTAATGTATGCTAATGAAAATTCTAATAAAGAATAATTCAATGGGGTTTCTCACCCTTTTTTCCTACTATCTCCTTTAGGTCTCCAGCACCAGGGGATTTTCAGAGTATCGGGTTCCCAGGTAGAAGTCAACGATATTAAAAATTCATTTGAGAGAGGTAATTTAGTGTCCCTACCTGTAAGCAAAACATGTTAAAACATCATCGTTTTGTGCTGGCATACTCATTCTATAAAATCCTAAACCCTTATATTTGCATTCATTTCACTGAGGATGCTGGGATAAGAATGTATTCAGAATAGCAGAGAAATGTGGCCCCAATGAGCCTTTGTTCTTAAAAGTATAAAAGCATACAAATTTTGTGTCCTAATTTAAGATGAAGGTAGCTCATCCATGACAGAGGTCAAAGGTGGCCATCTTTCCTTTGTCAGGAACTCTTTCCTTCTTCTTGTTACCCTCCCAGGCTCCTTTTCTGTGACATTAGTTGGTACCTCATGTTCATAATTGGCTGTCATATAAATTCCACTGGATTATTAATTAACACATTGCAGTTCACAATACCACACCCAGAATGAAATCAGAGACATCTAGAACCACATTAGACTCTCATTTACTAGCTGTAGGATTTGGATCATGTGACTTCAGTGGCCACAGTGTCTTCATCTACAAAACTGTGAGATTGTTGTAAGAGGGTTAGATGTAATCTGTGAAAATACCAACCCTTTATTGATTGCTACTGTTTGCTAATGCTCTCTATTTTTAGTGAAGTCTAGTGTATCCACTTTTCAGTACACCTGTGCCTTTTCCTATTCTTGATCAATGTTAAAAATGAAGAATGATTCTGGCATGGGAAGAGCCTATCCCCCACTTCCTCCACCTCTTCTTCTTTCTTCTCTCCCTCTCTATCCTCTCCTTCTCCTCTCTATCTCTCTGCCCATTTGGCCTAGTCTTGGTATAGCGCCTTTAGTTTGAAGCCTTATTAGTACAACTTGGGGACAAAGCCTTGTTGGTATAACTTGGGGACCTCATTGTTTTAATCCAGTTCTAAATTCTCTGTCCAAAACTCTATTAGAGCAAAACAACCTTCCCACCAGCAGCTAGAAGTATCATATCTCTGACATTGATTGTATTCAAGAGGAGAGGTGGGAATGTGGATTCTGTGCCAGCTACCACAGGCCAACCCTCTGTTATTTTTTTTTCTTGGAAATTTCCCTGATTTGAAACTTGTTTGTGATTTGTTTAAGGAAAGTTTTTATCATAGTGAGGAAATAATCATAGTAATAATAATAATAATAGAAATAATTTTAGACAGTTCATGTTTAGTGATTTCCTGCCTTGAAAAAGGGGGAAAAGGATCCTAAGAATAAACCACCCCTCACCTGCAGGGGAAGGGTAAGGAAAAAAGGATAGCAAATCCTCTAGACTTTTTATCTCCAATTAACCAGCAAAAAGCCAGAACTGGAGATGTGGATCATGTAGTATATGGCACCAACTATGAGTAAAAAAAGCTGAGCAAGAACTTGAGAAACTGAGTACAAGGCCCTGTATTGAAAACAATGAACACTTTTTGTGAACTTTAGAAAGCAACAGAGTAGACTTGTGAATAAAGAATATAGTTTAGCCAGCTGCTGGTGGCTCAAGCCTGTAGTTCTAGCTACACAAGAGATTGAGACCTGAGGATCAGGCGCAAAGCCAGCCCATGCAGGAAAGTCTTATCTCCAATTCACTACCCAAAATCCATTTTTGTGGCTCAAGTGGTAGAGTGCTAGCCTTGAGCAAAAAAGCTAAGGGATAGCATACCAGTCTAGTTCAAGCCCCAGGGCTGTCACAAAAAAAAAAGTACAGTTTGATTTAAGGTTATACATTGTATTAAGCTTCTTAAAGATTTTATCTCAGTTTTACTTTCAGAGACATAGATTGGCCATGTCAGTTACCTAATATCTCAAAATTTTTTTATCATAATAAAAACTGTAAATCTCCCCTTTTCCACACAAACTCCTTGGTACCCTTTAAAGGTACATTTTCTAATTCCTTTGCCTGATTTCAGAATCTCCAACTGTCCATGACAACTTTTACATGACCTGTGAAACACCATCATGATACTTTGCAAACTACTGGTTTATTTAATTTAAGGTGTTCACAGCTATTATTTGATTTTTTTCTGATAAGGTTTAGTGACCCAGATAGCATATCCAGAAAGACCTCCACCTGAAACTTTTTGAAAGTTTTCAACAAACCCAAAATGTAGTTTCAGAATTTATGTCTAACCGAGATTACTGAATTTAGCTTTAAAAGAATGTTGGGTAAAATTATAAAAATCCCACAATATTTTATTTTAAGATTTTGGTAACTTGTAAGAGAGTGTTGGGCGGCACACGATTTTTTTAAAAGCTTTATTTTAGTCAGCTATTTTTGGGTTAATCATGGGGTAGGATATCTCAACCAATTATTTTAATTTTAGTACCATATAATCTCTCATAAAGCATAATTAAAAGATCTGTGTATATATAGCAATGTTGTGTGCACATGTGTGTACAGAAATGTTCTTGTTGAGAGACGATAAAAACTAAAGGACTGTGTATGAGATGGGTTTCTTTTTGTTGTTGTTGTTTTAGGTGAAAACCCTTTGGCTGATGATCAGAGTAACCACGACATTAATTCAGTGGCTGGTGTTCTGAAGCTCTATTTCCGTGGGCTGGAAAATCCCCTCTTTCCTAAGGAAAGATTTAATGATCTGATTTCTTGTATCAGTAAGTAAACTTGAATTTTCTTAGTCTTTTCCAAAAGAATTACCTCATTCTCAGCCAGGTGCCTGTTGCTCATGCCTGTAATCCCAGCTACTCAGGAGGCTGAGTTCTGAGGATTGCCGTTCAAAGCCATCTTGGGGAAGGAAAGTTGGTGAGACTCTTATCTCCAATTAACCACCAGAAAACAGGAAGTGGCGCTGTGGCTTAAGTGGTGGAGCGCTAGCCTTGAGCTGAAGAGCTGAGGGACAGCGCCCAGGCCCAGAGTTCAAGCCCCACAACTGACAAAGAAAGAAAGAGAAAGAAAGAAAGAAAGAAAGAAAGAAAGAAAGAAAGAAAGAAAGAAAGAAAGAAAGAAAGAAAGAAAGAAAGAAAGAAAGAAAGAAAGAAA